TTCTTTTTTGACACAAAATAAAGACTTATACATTTAATGCTGATGATGTGCTTGGTACAAGCCATGCATGGTGACATTGTCTGCCTCGGGTTTGAAATCAAAGGCAGATACAGGTAAGACAGCACACTGGTAGATACAGAAGATAGGTTAACATAGAATGTAACTTTTTGTTTTTATTTTGTGTGATATAGAGCCTGATCCCAAACCCAGGACAATTAGTAGGTTCTTTCCACAATGCTTAAGACGCTTGTGTGTTTTTGAACGAGTTGTATGGTAAGAATAAGGGGAAAGTGATGCACTGGGAGGGTTTTCCATGAATAGGGGGCATTATGGAAATAGGCATAAAAATGGAAGTAGACAAAGGCGATTAATGCGGTAGTGGTGAGGCTGGCCATTAGCAGGTTGAAACGTGAGGTGAAGACTTAATATGACACTTCCCACCTGCCCTTAGCCTTAGACAGCTTTGTCTGTGCCTAGGTGAAGGATCCCGTGTTTCCTTGCAGCCCAAGCTACTTTGCCTTTCTGAATAAATAACCCCCTGCTGTTTTTTTCTGCCTGTAGATTTCTTTTCTCATAGATTTCACAATCTTTTATTTCACCTGTAGCTTGTATGCAAATAGGCGTACAGTACAACAAATGACCAGAGAAGGAGATAGCTATCTGTTACCTCCTGCCTGAAAGGAGCATTGCTGAGGCATGTCACCTCCTGGTGGCTTGCTTTAACGGCAAGACATTAAGAACATATATCTTTTAATATAGATATACAACTCCTTAATTATTATCCATATAGTGTCACAAAGTTCCTCCTCTGCCTTGGTGGGTCCTGCACTCACCCACTACCCACTGCATGGATTTGCTCACCTCAGAGGTTCACGGCAGCCCTCAGTTTGGCTGCTTCTGCTAGAGGCTCAAACCTACCGTTCACTCAGCTAACCTCATCACTGGCCAGCATGGGGGAAATGGAGAACAATCCCCACAGTCTCTGTCCCCCACCTAGTGGGTTGGGGACAGGCCAGATCCCTTTCCAAATTAGACCTTCCCTTCTGGTATTCTTCACAGACAAGGTCAACTCCTCCTGTATCCGATCAGGAGTTGGGAGGAACTGGGGCCCACCCTCTACACTGGGTTCCAGCCCAGGGCTCTGTAGATAGCAGCTGTCTACACTGCCGTCTGTATCAGCCGTGTGACAGCTACAACTCCCTGGGCTACTTCCCCATGGCTTTCGCCTAGCACCTTCTTTATCCTCACTGCAGGATCTTCCTCCTGAAGCCTGATCACACTTGTACTCTTCAGTCCTCCAGTAGCATGCCTTCTCACTCCCTGCTCCTTACGTGCCCCCACTAACTAATGGGAGGTCCTTTTTAAACCAGGTGTCCTGATTAGCCTGCCTGCCATAATTGATTCTAGTAAGTTCTTAATTGCCTCCAGGTTAGCTTGCCTGTCTTAATTGGTTCTAGCAGGTTCCTGATTGCTCTCGGGCAGCCCCTGCTCTGGTCACTCAGGGAACAAAACTATTCATCCAGTGGCCAGTATATTTGCCTTCTACCAGACTCCTGTACCCTTTCGTAGTGGACGAGCTCCGCCCGCCCACTTCCTGGATCCCAATAGACCAGACTCCTGTACCCCACTGGTCTGGGTCTGTCACAGTATATACATTGCAATGATTACGATGACCAGTGAGCTACCGGCTCCTGGAAAAACATTGCATGCCACCCTTCAATGAAATATTATTCAGATATACAATGCAGGAGATCCCTGTAAAGCCCTCTGCATCCTCTTCCAGTTGGCACCATGGGATTCCTACATCACACCTCCCTAGCCCTTATATTGATGCAGTGTGGTTAACCACTGACTAATCCCTGAGTGTCAGCGCAGAACCTTCTTCCCTGGAAAGTATAATATGCCTATCTGAAAGTTAGGCTGTGATGGAGCAAATCAGTTCTGAGAGCATATATCCCTTTCAGAGGAATTGAAATATCTTCCACCTTAGTACAGCCTCAAAGCCACCTTAAATTATGTTCACTAGATTTATTAAATCCTACAAAACTAAATTCTTGCAATCTCACACCTCATAGAATCCTAGAAGGTTAGGGTTGGAAGAGACCTCAAGAGGTCATCTAGTCCAACCCCCTGCTCAAAGCAGGACCAACACCAACTAAATCATCCCTGCCAGGGCTTTGTTAAGCTGGGCCTTAAAAACCTCTAAAGATGGAGACTCTAAAGATGGAGATTCCACCACCTCCTTAGGTAATGCATTCCTTAGACTACGTTGAATGTTGCATGAATATAAACCCATTCCTTAGACTACGTTGAATGTTATACAGCAACTGACACCTTGTTGGTAAGAAATAGATCTAGTTTGGGTTTGCCTTTGCTTTTGAGATCATGCAATTAAATTGGTCTCTAAAACACAGTCTCTCTGCCTATTAACATTTCTTGGTATTTGTCATGCAAGAGATGTCTAAGTATAGTTTCCTGAGAATACTTACTTTGTTCCTGACCAAAAAACCATGAGTCTGATTCAAGTTAGACTTTTAAATCTTTCTTTCCATCATGTCTACTTTATCAATATTTCTGTGGCTCCAGAAAAGTAAAAATGTTAGGGCACAAATTATTCTTACACAGTCTCTCAAATCACTGAATTATGGTGTAAGAGTGTAGTATGAGCAAACATTGCTTAACAACAAACTCTTTTACACAGTACAGGGTCAGGTACTGATTATATAATAAAGACAATTTTTAAATTGAGTGAAGGGAAGTTTGGAAAAACCGTTGAGGTAGGATTTTCAAAAGACATAGGAGAACAAGTCCCACTGGAAGGCAAGGGCGCTTAATAAAAATCCACCCTAGGAGAAAGACATCAGGAACAGGAGATGATGAATTTTCTTCCTGTAGGGTCCAGTGGGAGTAATTCAGGCCAATCCAACAAGGTGCTGTTGCACTATGACCATATTAAACATTTACTAAGTTTACGTAAATGTTGCTGATACAAGATTTTCTTGTTTGTCTATGTGAGCTAAATAAATGGACAGAGCTTCAATATCTGCCAGCAATATATTTCGCTCCAAGGGTAAAACTTTCAAAAGCACCTAATTGACTTAGGCACTTAGAAGTGTGCCTCATTGAAAGCCAGTGGGATTTAGATTCTTTTCTTCATCCTGCAGGCACCATGCTACAGTCCTCTATGTTTGAGGCAGTAGAGATCAGATCAAATCCCTTTCTACCTGACAGATTGTCTGGGCCTGGTGGAACTGGTCATGAAGGACTGACCACATCTGCAGTGCTCCTACGCTTTGTTGGGGTTCAGCTTATAGCTAGATCCTTATTATGTGGAGTTAGATATAAATGTGGGTTGTTGGTTCAAGGTGCATTATTCTATTTGTCAATCACCTCTGCACTTCTCAGTGGTTTAAGTTCTTAGCTAGTTACCTTGTCACACTAGGAAACATATTAGCAGGAGAGGGTAATTGTGTTATGTGTTAAAATTATCCCAGTGTTCTAACGTGTGCTTTATAAACAGCTATTTTACAAGGTCTTCATTGCTTCCTCACTGGCCAAGCTCCCTTTATTTTTCTTGTTGGACAGATATTTTACAAATAACACAGCCATTTTTCAGTCTTTAATGTCATTCCCCTTCTTCCTTTAGGACCTGATTCTGTGAGGTGTTAACCATCCTCCACTTCCAGCATGAGGTTGTAACTTTCTCCTTTCCTCCCTAGTGTTATGCCTTCCTAACACGCCTTTCCCATTTTGAATCCAGGAGAATGGAACTCCTTCCATTTAAGTGAAGTCCATCCATTGGAAGCAGCCATTTCAAAAGGGGAGAAGAGGAGGAGTCCTGACTGCCCTGCCCTCAGTAAAGGTCTCCCAGACATGGCAAGTACCTTGGGGGAAGAATGGCAAGGGGGCAGCATGGTACCGCTTTGCCACTACCTGATCTTATTGTGGGACAAGAAGGTTGGGTTTGGGGTGGGATGGGGTGGCAGGGAAGCAGGCCTCCTGCAGGCAAGATTGGGAGAGGGGCCCTCCACAATCCAGACAGCTCTGTGAGGGCTTTTCTCAGTTAAACAGAAGGACTTTGGATAGCTACTCCCCTTGCATAGGGGTGAAAGGGTTTTCCCAGAGCATAGGGATTTTTGAGTTTGAAGGCCTTCCCCCACATCCTCCAAGAAATGGGCTCTGTGGGAATGCCAGTCCCCCACGACCCTATAGGGAATGGATTCAGTGAGGTGGTCTCATTTTAAAGTGGAGCAGCCAGAACAAGTTAGGGTTGGAAGGGAGCCCTGTGCAGTGGTGAGGTGACCCTAATTGTTACTTTGCCTGGGGCCCAGGTTCGCCTTAATCCAGAAGCCTACTGTGTGGGTGGCAGTGAAGCCTGCACTGCTGTTGCTTACGTTGTCCCTGATCTGAGTGAAGCCAGACTCCAGAGCCACCACCCCAGCACTAAACACTAGCTTTTAAAGAGCTCAGCTCCCATTCAGACAGCAAAATAAAGTGGCCAGGTTTGCAAAATAGCTCAGCATGTTGTACACTGCTCACTTCTGAAAATCTGGCTATAAGCATCATAGAGGGAGCATCAAGGCTCAGCACTCCTGAAAATATGGCCCTTATTAGTTGCCTAAACAGGAGCTGAGCTATTCTGAAAATGTGGCCCCACAGTCACTATTTAAATATTTTAAAACAAATTGGCGAAACCCCTGCTTTCTCTGAGTGGTTCAGAGTAGTGATCAGCAGATGTTACATGCTAAACTGGGGGCAGTGGGAGGAGTTAGTGGTGCAGGAGGAGAGTCCTCTGATAGAGATATAAATACTAGTATGTCGCTTATGTTTGGGAGCCACATGTAAATAACTTGACATGCTGAGAGAAGCAGACTGGTGAGGGAGAGTGGGCAGCAAAGCATCTTTCAGGAGGAACTGCTGAGATCAGTTTTCGAGGAGGAACCAGGAGTCTGCCTGTTTCATTCCAAAGGAATGCATGCAGAGTGTGCTTGTTCTCCCAGTCTGTATTCCTACAGAAGAGAAGCCTGAGCCTGATGGTGCCACTGCTTCTCCTGCTGTTCTCAGAATTCAGGTTCCACTGCGGGGCACATTTGCAAGGAGCCTGCAGCAAAAGCCATGGCTCCCCTACAGCAGAGGATTTTGATCAAAGGGGGGAGAGTGGTGAATGATGACTACTCGCAGTTGGCTGATGTGTATGTGGAGGACGGAATAGTGCGGGCAGTGGGACCACACCTGCAGCCTGGGGCACCTGCTGGGCTCCTAGTTATAGACGCTTGCAACAGACTGGTGCTGCCTGGGGGGATTGATACCCACACACACATGCAGTTCCCCTTTATGGGCACCCAGTCCAAAGATGACTTCTACCAGGGAACAAAGGTAAATCAATCTGTCTTGTCTTTACCAGGAAGAAAATTCATTACCACCATCTCAACTCTTGCTCTAGGAGAGAAGTCATCTCCTGAACACCTTCTCTCCCTTTTTAGAGGGTCAGCACAGGAAGGAGGAGGGTTTTCTCTTCCATGTTTTACTACCTCTGTCTCTCTACCAAGGAAGGTCCAGTTTATATCTGCCAGTGATGTCCTCATTTTCCTGAGTTCTGTACTTGGGTTCTGTTTGCTTCACCTTTGCAAGCCAGGTAAATTACATGAGCAGCTCTAGTGTAGTGAGGTGTTTGTACGTTAGAATTTATTGAAATTAGTGAATCAATTTAATTCCTTATGCAACGTGCTGATATCGTGCCCTAGAGACTGAAGTTCTCTGTCCCCAGAGCAGCTACAGCACTGCAGCTGCTCAGCATTCCTCACTCTGCCCTTCCAGTAAATTTGGCCCATCACCAGCCTCCATGGGAGTCAAACTGATGTCCCAGAACTGAGTCTGTATACCATTACCAGTCCCCTGAACCATCCAGTCCTCTAAAGGCAGAATTGCTGTTTGTAGAAAAGAGAAGAATTGCGTACCCTCATAAGGAGGACTGGGTTAAATTAAGTCTAGATTAAATTCTTATTTCATGTACCTTACATTGTAAAATATATCCAATAAGTTAAATTAAACTTTAGTTCTGTTATGTAGTGATGTCATTCAATAACCCTACAATTATGATTTAAGGCATTTTAGTATCCGTGATCACAGATTAGATTTACCTGATTTTTAAACACAGATCAGATTTTCATTTCTCGCCCACCCTGTGTTTTCACCACAGATCAGAGTTAAAGTTGTTTGGGTATCTTAACAATGCATTTCCGTACTTTAACCTATTTGGGTTTCTTTTATGTTTAACCTTAACTCTGAATTTCAGAGTTTGTAATGTTTGTTTTTTAGGATAATTACAACGGTCTTGTAATGAGTGTTACCCTTAAGTTACCAGTATACACTGGACTTAATATTGAGAGTACAACATATTGTATAGGGATCCTTACACTGCATCTTTCATTATTAGTGTGCTTTTTCTTAACATGCACCAAGGCCATTTGCCATTGTTAAAATAGATGGATCTTAAATTTACTGCAAAGAGTTCGGTAAAGAATGATTTTTGTATCAAAGCAAAGCTATTTTCTAGCATAGTAAAATAACTTGTATGTCAAACGTGTCATGTTTCCTGTTTTAATGTAGATTTATAACAGTTTTAAAAGACACTAAAATATTTAATCTCTATATTCATGAATATTTATTAAGGTTGACAACTGAAAGAGCATTTTAAACTTAATCATGGGTGTTTTGCAAAATCCAAGCTCTGTGATGGGTAGCTGGTAGATATGAGAGAATAATTAGCAGTAAATCTATTATATGAATTTCATACCTTTTATATTTGTAAGCTGTCTATGAGCTGATTACATTTTTCTCAAAAACAGTCGTCATACAAATAATTTCCAAAAATAACTCTTGGTTTGTAAATTGTTCAATGAGCAGCTTTCTGTGTGTACTGGGTATTAGAAATTGAAAATTCAAGTAGTTAGTTTTCCTGGGACATATGAATCTCCTGGCATGTTTCTGTTTCCTGATTGGACAAGCAAAACTCTTCAAATCAGGTTTATGGACTAAATATTCATGTTAATATATACAACATTCGCTATCTGTGAATATTCTCCAAAACATAAGGCTTACTGTTACCACAGACATTTCTGCCCATAAACTTGTTCACTAGAATATACTCTGAATGGGTGAAATTCTAGATGTGAATAAAAATCTCAGGGTTGTGGTTCAGGCTTCATCTGTGGGAAACCTAGATGATGCTGGCTGGCAGAAGGAAACATTTTGAAGAGCTAGCAGAGACTATGACCTTGTTGCAGTTGAGGGCATCTGTCTTTTATTCATCAATGAGTCACCCAAACTTTGGTACCTGGTAGATTCAGCTCAACTTATGGATAACAACTAGAAGCAAAAACACCTTTACCAATCTGTGGATGGCTAAGTGATTATGCCTTTTCCTGTCAAATGAGGATCAGATTATGGGGATAATTCTTCTTCCCCTCCTGATGCTGCCCTTGAAGTTCAATGGTTATATTATGCCACTGTTCACTTGCTCATAAAGCATGCCATAGATTTCTAGGTTTTAAGTCCAGAAGGGACTATGAGCTGATCTAGTCTGAGCTCCTGAATAGCAGTGGCCATAGAACTTCATCCCATTATCCCTTTATTGAGCCCAACTGTCATAAATATAAAGGGAAAGGTAACCACCTTTCTGTATACAGTGCTATAAAATCCCTCCTGGCCAGAGGCAAAATCCTTTCACCTGTAAAGGTTTAGGAAGGTAAGATAACTCTGCTGGCACCTGACCCAAAATGACCAATGAGGGGACAAGATTCTTTCAGATATGGAGCGGGGGGAACAAAGGGTTCATCTGTCTGTGTGATGCTTTTGCCGGGAACAGATCAGGAATGCAGCCTCACAACTCCTGTTAAGTTAGTAAGTAATCTAGCTAGAAATGTGTTTAGATTTCCTTTTGTTTAATGGCTGGTAAAATAAGCTGTGCTGGATTAAATGTATATTCCTGTTTGTGTCTTTTTGTAACTTAAGGTTTTGCCTAGAGGGATTCTCTGTTTTTTTAATCTGATTACCCTGTAAGGTATTTACCATCCTGATTTTATAGAGGTGATTCTTTTACCTTTTCTTTAATTAAAATTCTTCTTTTAAGAACCTGATTGGTTTTTCTTTGTTCTTAAGATCCAAGGCTTTGGGTCTGTGTTCACCTGTACCAATTGGTGAGGATTCTTATCAAGCCTTCCCCAGGAAAGGGGGTGTAGGGCTTGGGGGGGTATTTTGGGGAAAGACGTCTCCAAGTGGTCTCTTTCCCTGTTCTTTGTTTAAAATGCTTGGTGGTGACAAGATAAGGTTGAAGGACAACGCAAAGTGTGTATCTTGGGGAAGTTTTTAACCAAACCTGGTAAGAATAAGCTTAGGGGGTCTTTCATGCAGGTCCCCACATCTGTACTCTATAGTTCAGAGTGGGGAAGGAACCTTGACACCAGTAAACCTGCATTTGACTGCCTTCCAAAAAATCTTTATTTTAAGACTTCAAGAGATGGAGAATCCACCACTTGCCTTGCAAGTTTGTTCCAATGGTTAATCACCCTCAGTGTTAAAATACATAAATTTATGCCTTATTTCTCATAAGGATTTGTCCAGGTTTAACTTCCAAGTCTGTGGATCTTTTCATGCCTTTCCCTTTAGATTAAAGAGCCATTTAGTACCTGGTATTTTCTCCCTGTGTTTATGCACTGTGATCAAATCATATCTTGGTCCTTTTCATAAACTAAATAGATTGAGCCCCTTAAGTCTCACTGTCTGACTTTCTCTCCAGCCTCAGTCTTTTTTTGTTTTTTGCTCCTTACTGCATCCCCTCCAATTTTTCAACATTCTTTTCAAAAGTGTGAACACCAGAACTCTATGCAGCATTCTAGTATCAGTCTCTGCCCTATGCAGAGGTAAAATCGTCTCTTTCCTCCTACTCACTATTCCCCTCTTTATACACCCTAGCACCGCATTAGCCCTTTTTGCCACAACATCGCAATAAGAATCATATAGAATCATAGAATATCAGGGTTGGAAGGGACCCCAGAAGGTCATCTAGTCCAACCCCCTGCTCGAAGCAGGACCAATTCCCAGTTAAATCATCCCAGCCAGGGCTTTGTCAAGCCTGACCTTAAAAACCTCCAAGGAAGGAGATTCCACCACCCCCCCAGGTAACGCATTCCAGTGCTTCACCACCCTCCTAGTGAAAAAGTTTTTCCAAATATCCAATCTAAACCTCCCCCCACTGCAACTTGAGACCATTACTCCTTGTTCTGTCATCTGCTACCATTGAGAACATTCTAGAGCCATCCTCTTTGGAACCCCCTTTCAGGTAGTTGAAAGCAGCTATCAAATCCCCCCTCATTCTTCTCTTCTGCAGGCTAAACAATCCCAGCTCCCTCAGCCTCTCCTCATAAGTCATGTGTTCTAGACCCCTAATCATTTTTGTTGCCCTTCGCTGGACTCTTTCCAATTTGTCCACATCCTTCTTGTAGTGTGGGGCCCAAAACTGGACACAGTACTCCAGATGAGGCCTCACCAATGTCGAATAGAGGGGAACGATCACGTCCCTCGATCTGCTCGCTATGCCCCTACTTATACATCCCAAAATGCCATTGGCCTTCTTGGCAACAAGGGCACACTGCCGACTCATATCCAGCTTCTTGTCCACTGTCACCCCTAGGTCCTTTTCCGCAGAACTGCTGCCTAGCCATTCGGTCCCTAGTCTGTAGCGGTGCATTGGATTCTTCCATCCTAAGTGCAGGACCCTGCACTTATCCTTATTGAACCTCATCAGATTTCTTTTGGCCCAATCCTCCAATTTGTCTAGGTCCTTCTGTATCCTATCCCTCCCCTCCAGCGTATCTACCACTCCTCCCAGTTTAGTATCCTCCGCAAATTTGCTGAGAGTGCAATCCACACCATCCTCCAGATCATTTATGAAGATATTGAACAAAACCGGCCCCAGGACCGACCCTTGGGGCACTCCACTTGATACCGGCTGCCAACTAGACATGGAGCCATTGATCACTACCCGTTGAGCCCGACAATCTAGCCAGCTTTCTACCCACCTTATAGTGCATTCATCCAGCCCATACTTCCTTAACTTGCTGACAAGAATACTGTGGGAGACCGTGTCAAAAGCTTTGCTAAAGTCAAGAAACAATACATCCACTGCTTTCCCTTCATCCACAGAACCAGTAATCTCATCATAAAAGGCGATTAGATTAGTCAGGCATGACCTTCCCTTGGTGAATCCATGCTGGCTGTTCCTGATCACTTTCCTCTCATGCAAGTGCATCAGGATTGATTCTTTGAGGACCTGCTCCATGATTTCTCCAGGGACTGAGGTGAGGCTGACTGGCCTG